GATGGTCCGGTTGATCAGGTGGCTGCTGTGTATCAGGTTGTTGAGGTACATCGGTAGGATCCGATGGATCCGTCTCGATGAGCATCGGCCTGATAGCCGGCGCATCTGAGAATGACTGATGAACGGATGAAAGTCTTCGGATCATAATTCTCCCAGTTGCATTTGGATGCAGGCAAGACCCAAATCCTATTCAGCTGATCAGGTTGCCAGAAGGATATGATCGCATCGTCCGGAGGTGACGTAATTGGCATGTTGATGCCAATGGTGCGGGCGAATGCTGTGCATGCATCGTACTGAGTGGATGAAATGCACAATTGTCTTAGCTTCTTGCAACCATTCCACATGTTCTGACATCGCCAGTCATTAGGATCTTGCTTGAAGATATCGATTTCAGTCCCAGGTGGGTACTGCTTCATCGTCTTCTGAAACTTCTGGACTAGCGGATCTTGGATGACCAATGGTTGAACGTCCTTGTTGAACGGGAGGTCTTGAATTCTGACCGCAAGACTACTGCTTCTCCTTCCTCAGGATGTCAACCTGCTTGATGGTGAATGGTTCGAAAAGGTCCTCCAAGAGGTACACCTCGTTGTCAAGTGGTTTCACCTTCAGGTGTCTAAGGAGGATGTGTGCGATATCCTGACAGAACTGGTACGGATATACATGTGCCAGTTTGGTCCTGCTTCCGAAGGTACCAGCACTTCCTTCTAGAGGTTGGTGTTCATGCTTGACTGAGCTGGAAAATTTTTTACACCTTCTGAAGATTGGTCTCATTACCTCGCGAGGTAAGCAGTGCATCAAGCTCGTGGGCTTGAGACTTCTGAGCCCGGATTCAGGATCTTTCAGTCCGTATGCACAGAAGTGGAAATCTCCCCAGGTCACGGATGGATCTGAGAACAGTTGCTGCATACAATTCAGATACCATATCCTGGATTTCTGAGGATTTTCAATGATGAAGTATCTTCGTTGCTTTAACTGATATCGCGCAATGGATGCCACAAATTCAACCATGGGAAGGTAGCGTCTGCGCTTTTCCCCAACCTTTTGTTGGTCTTGTTGGATATTCTGCATATTTGACCATGGTCCACAGACCGGTGCCATGAGGATTACATCAGGCGCTTGCTCTCTGATGATCTCCATGACCATGTGTCGTCCCTTGGATGTCATTACGTCGAATCCGGTGCGGATGTCTACGGGAGTCCCAACCTTAAGACCTGAGAGTCTGAATCTGGCACTTCCTGCAAAGATCTCGAGAACGTGGATCTTTCCTTTACGTACACAATTCCAATGCGCTTGTTCAGGAACGGATGTGAGGTCCTCGACGAACATGTTCTCTGCCGGATGAGGTGCTGCAGGTTTGGGAGTTGTTTTTCCCGCAATACGTAATGGCACTGAGGATCTTGGCTTAGGAGCTGGTGCGGATGACTCTTTCTTCTTGGCGTCGGCAGAGGAGCCTGGTTGCTCTTTCTGCAAGGATTCTCGCTCTTCTGGCAATAGAAGGTCAATTCCAAGTTTCCCCGGAGGGATGGTTTCATCCTTCCTGACCTTCGTCATGTTAACCTTGATGAGTCGAGTCCCATTCAGCCATATTCCTCCCTTGCTTCCATCGGAACGGATCTTGGATTTGTCTTCCTGCCGAGATGAATACCTTGTCTCACCTGAAGAGGCTTAGAACTCATTCGGAGATTTGAGCAAGGTCTCGTCGGATGTCTTCGGACACGCGCTTCTTGGAGTGCTTGCTTGGACAGCTGCTTTATCTGGATGGCTGTCAGCTCTTCTTCATTCCTGTCAATCGTCAACTGAGTTGGTGTTGCGACATCGAGTTGGATGAGATCTGCTGGTCGTCTTCCGAATGCGAGCTCCAATGGTGTTACACCCCCGTAGGTGACAGTCTGATTCCTGACAGTTGCAGCTGCCTTCACCAGCTGTCTGTATGTCACTTTCTTCAGAAATTGCAGGTGCTGTTCCTGCCTTGATGGAACTCAGCATGATCTTGAGTTGTGCCTTCAGGAGTCGAACTGCTGCTTCAGCTCGATTTGGCCATGGTGTGTTCGGTCCCAAGGATATCGGTGTGATGTCAAGGGATTGATAGAAATGTTCCCATGTCTCTGTCATGAAGGCTTGATCTGCGACAACTGATTTGGGCTGCAAATGGTACTGGTCAAAATAGTTCCTGAGGACAGTGATGTTCTCGACTTCTTGCGTAGTTGTCACTGCCTCTGCAGTGAGCAATGTTGTTGCTCCATCCAGGATGACAAAAACAATGATGTGTTCTCCTGTTCCAAGAGGAACTTGACAGTGATCAATGAATGTCATGTCACCAAAGGTGTCCGCTCGAAGTCCACTCGTCTTGCTTCGTGATGGTGCATGTTTTGCCGCTTGGCAAACTTCACATTCACTTCGGATTTTGTCAAATAGATCAAATGTTGATTTCGGCAAATGAAGTGAGCGAGTTCTAAATTCGGGATTTGACAATTGCTTGTGGATTCTGCCTAGGGCAAGCGGAAGCGATGTTGGTTCTTCTGAGGATTGCGCGAAAGGATCTGGCTCAATGGTCGACCGGCCCTTCTTGTCGATGATCCTGTCTGCTGCCGATCCTGAACCTGCTTCTTCGTCCTTAAGCAAATTGTCCGCGAAGGTGAAAATGGTCTTACCTATCCACAGGTTAATCATGGGTTTGTTTGCCTGGGATGTAAGTCTCCAATTGTCTTCTAGGATGTCTGGATCTCCACCTACGGATGCATCAATGATTTCCGTAGTACGCTCTCGGCTGATGTTATCAGGATTGATTGGACATTCCTTGGCTCCAATTGGTGTGAACAGCGCCTTGCGAGGCGTGATGTGCACACGGATGAGCTGCTTGTTCTTCTTGTCAAGGATCCAATGGTCCTGCTTTTGAGACCCAATGATTTTAGGAGTTGCTAGGTCCTCCTTTGTCTCGGATGATTTTGCTGCACAAACAGTTTCACTCTTGGAGAGATCCCCGGAGGGAAACTTGATGCTGTTGTCATCATCATAGACATAGTTGGTGAGGCCCTTATGAGCAATTTCTCCATGTGCCTTCACTCTTGCAACTCCAGCGAGATCGACGAGTGCATGTCCTGTACCGGATACCGGAACTGCTTGACGGTTCATGCCAAAAGCCTTGCATGTGATTTTGTCACATTGAGGTGTGCTCGATGGTCATGTAGAGGTTCCGCATCTGACTGATGCTGAGGAGGATCGGTACAGTTCCTTGTTCAAGGACGTCGATGTTGGTACTGCATGGAGGAGTTGTGTGATATCGAAGATGCAGGGTCCAATTTACCCTGGCTTTTCTCCATTTGCAAAAGTGAACTTGGTCTCGGCCGGGATGTACTGATACGAGATGATGTCCTTCATTGGTTCGATGGCCTGAGTAAAACGCTGGATTGCATGCCAGCTGCCCATAGATCTGGTACATCCATTGTCCAGAATCGCATAGGTCGGATTGTGCTGAGGGTTGATGACAGGCGCCATCAGCTTTGTTGCCAAAAGGCTGTGATTTGTTGTGACGGACAAATTGTGTTCTGAAACTGCATCTGATCGGATCAGCTTCCCGTGGATGGCCTCTTTCTCATGTTGCTCATATGCGTCATGGAATGCCATTAGCGCTTGTCCTGTGCTGGATGTCTCCTGGGATGAGTACCAGCCTTGTTCGTTCCATGTCCATGATTGATCCCAATCTTGGTCTGTCCAACCGGCATAGGTAGGCTCTGTGGATGGTGCAGTCTGCTGGATGGCGGGCTGCTCCTCCGTCTTCTCTGCGGTGGCTGCGAACGTCTTGGATTTTCCTTTGTCATGTCCGCCTTTTCCTTTGCCATTCTCATAGGATGGATAACCTTTGTTTCCATCATAGGGATATTGGAATTTTGATTTTCCTTTCTTTCCCTTCTTTCCTTTGCCTTTGCCCCAATATGCCTGGTCGTAGGGATCATAGTTCTCATTGGCCATATTGGCCTTCCCGCCAGAACCGCTTTTTCTGAAGGGACTGCCCTTTTTGTTTCCTGATTTTCCTTTTCCTTTTCTCTTCTTGAATCTGAAATTCCGCCCTGACACTGTTCTTCGCTTTTCTTGCGATGAACGCATCGTTCTCCAGAATGTCTCCTCATCGTTGTTTGACATGAATCCTTCAAGTCCTTCTTCATCCTCAACCCAAAAGCCTTGTTCTCCTTCATATTCACCTTGTTCGATGATGAAGAATGTGTTGCTTCGGTTGCCTCCTTGAGGTCGGATGGATGGATCTACTGGTACCCTGTGGTAGTAGAGGTCGTTGATTTGGTCCCTGGATCTATTCCGGAGAGAGTCCAATATGCCAATATGGATTATTGGAGGATGGATTGTTCCTGGTGGATTGTATTGTTGTATAATCCTATAAGCGGCCTGCAAAGGTTCCTTTGTCACGCAATCATGAGTATTGCTATGGTACAGAAGGGCCTTGAGCCAAATGGTTGCGGAAGATCAATTGCGTAACAACCAAACACAGGGGGGGGGGGAACCCTTGACCATATATTTGCGGATGTTAGCTTTCAAAGGCCTTGGAAACCCCATAGGTGGCTCACAAAAATGGCAGATCAAGGATAGCACTGCACCATACTGCACCTGACCCCAAAGGAACGAAAGGGAAGCCCAAAAGCGGACGCCGGCAATTTTGAGACACACCTGCGTAACAGGCCCCCCGAATCCACTGGAGCGCAGTTGGCCAAGCCAAGAAAAAAGCGATAACACTAACGGATGTTCAAAAAGGTGCGGACATTCAAAAAGGCCACGGGCACAACATAGAGTCATTCACAGCTCTTGGCATGTCAAATATGTGTTTTATCTTTGCCATTTTGGAGGGTTTCGCAGCTCATGTTGCGGCAATGACCCTGCAAGTTCCGAAAGAATTCCACAAAATAAGGAATCCTCAAAGTAAACAACCTACATGTTCCTTGCCGGTCAACTCGCTCTTGGGCGGAAGGAATGCATGACTCAAGCCAAGGTGCTGGTTCCACATCCCACTTCACCAGCACCTAGGCAAAACTTCCTTTCGACGGCCGGTTCAGCATGCAAGATCGCGCAAGGACTAAAAAGAAACGAAGGAACGGCAGAAACCTCAAAGATGGGTCCTGCGAAAGGAGACTCCACTCGGGGTTTTCCCTACATTTCGAGTCGTTTTGCAGGGACCTCTCTGGCAATCCCCAAGGCATGAGCCTCGCTCCGCTCGCGGACTTGGAAAACCTGGATTATCCGTTTACCGACCACGGGAAACCTATGCGACCTGAACTGACAACCCCTCCCCCCTGATCCCTGATGGATGCGGACGGGGATCCCTATACATGAAGGCCACTTTCTGACGGGGCGGGAGCACGACGCAACCCTCGGGGCCTTCTGCGCTTCGGTTGCCTCCTCATTATCCTCATCATCCACGATTTTCGTTTCTGCCTGAGCCGTGCAGAGAGGCCGCTTGGGGCGGCTCTCGACCTGCAAAAGAGCTTCTGAGGTTTTTGGAAGGGTTCTCAGACCCTTTTCGGGGGGGCAGAGGGGCTCTCTGCACCTCTGTTTGCCACAATGGCAGCTGCGCAGGCCCGTCTTGAATCGGACGAGTCAAAATGTTCACAAGGCCACGTGCAATTCATGCTGAGTTTTTGACAGGGATCAAGACCTTCAAAAAGCTGCAACTGTCCCACCTGCCATGCTGGAAAGGGAAAGGCTAAGGAAGGGGCAAACATAGCAGTGGCATTGCATCAAACTGTTAACATCCTCATTTCAGGACATCTGAGGGCTCATGGTCACTTGTACCAACGTAAGCGAGAGCCTGTCGGCAAGCAACCAAGGGCCCTTTTTGGACGATTTAAACATCTCGCCTCCTCTTGGTTGTCCAATCTGACACCTTGAGTTTATGCCATGACCATATTTTGCGAGAGGCTTGGGTTCTGATCAAAGCTACTTACTTTCCAAGTATCGTGCCCCAAGTGAAAAAGTTACCAAGCGTTGACCAGGGTTACCTGCTCAAGTCCTCTTCGTCTGTCGGTATTCGGATAACTGTTGTGACTGGCCCCGCTGTATCCTTTGAGGGGACCCCGTTGACCCCGGTTTGAAGCACAAGCACCGTGCCGCTCGCTCGCTCTTCCCGCTGGCCGAGCGGCCGTGACGTTGCTCCGGCTAAAGGTCACCACCTGGGATCGCACTTACGGCTTCGACGTTCAATCCGAGGCCTAGGATATGACCATGGGTCAGAAGCCCACAACCCTGAACATCAACCAATCCCCACTAAAATAGGTTCTAAAATGGGTGGTGAATTCACCTACCAACCAGATTGGGACCCCATAACGGTTTTGACAACCACAGCCATATCAATTTTGTGACCCCCCCAGCTGAATCCAAGCACTGCGTGACTGAAGTTCTTCTGATGCCCGCGAACCAGTACGGGTCCCAGCTCAGTTGCCTAGTGAGCCTGAAGAATAACCTAGGGCCAACCTGCATACCCTAAATGGACATACCCCAAAACCGGTGGTTCTACATGGGTTTTACAGGGCTATAAACGTTCTATAGGTGTGGTATGCCCATTTGGGGCATGCAAGCTGGCTCTTAGACTGTTGGGCGTGTGACTATTCTTTGAATTGGGACCATCGCCGACCGACAAAATTCAATCAAACCTTACAACAGGACCTTGGAATGGTCGCAACCTGCTTGTGAGGAATTTGTGATCGCCTAACTGTGTCTAAACACCAACCTTGGCCCACATCTACCGTACGCAGAAACTAATATGTTCAGATTGTTTTTCAAATCTGGGTGTCCCCTTTTTGGACCAAAAGAACACACTTGTCCGGGCCGAAGCGGACATATCTCTTGTCTTCGCCCAGAAGTGCGCTGGTCATGGTTGGCCGGCAGGCTCTAAGGTCCGGACATTCTGGTCCGGTGCAATCCGAAGGCAATGGGCTGAGAAGCCATGCTGGAAACAAGGAATCACCTAACAGGATTCCTTGAACGAGTGTTATCATTTTGGTTTCTTGCCGAACCTGCTCCGGCTCTAGAGGGGTGGGGTCGCGGTTTCCGCAAAGACACCGTGCAAAAAGGCGAGGCTCCGAAACGGTGGGCTGGTTTTGGCTTCCCTTCAAAACTCGCCAAAAAGAGGTCCCCAACAAGACACAGAAGCAGGGCTGTGGGAAATGGAACCCACTTCTGTGATGCAACAAAATGGGGCCTCCTTTTAGCCGAAATCTCAAGAGGGGATTTGCTATCACAGAAGTGGTTGGATGCGCCCTTGACTCCACAACCCTGCATTAGCCCAAACACACACACACACAATGGGGATAGATTCCCTTTAAAGACAGCAAGGCAAAAGCAATAATAAACATGTTCATTTCAGACAATTGTTGAGAAGTGACTTGCATCAAACCTTTGCCTAGGTCCTCCAGCAGGGAGGTTGGAATAAGGGCACCAACTTTTTTGTCGGTTTTGTCTATTTCAGTAAGGGAATTTTCCCTAAAAAAGGGGTGAGAGGTCGGGCACCAAGCTGGGGGACCTGGCCTGGAAAACGTCTATGCTCAGCCTCCCTCCCCGGCGGCGATCCGAGGTCCCCAACGTGCCGGTTGCCCTTGTCGTCCTGCAGGTGAAGCATGGATTCTCCAAGGAGCGCGCGTGAAACAAGTGGTTTCCCTGAAGTTTCCCCACCACAAAACGGTACCCTCAAAACTAATCACACATTGCTTCCCTAAACATTGCGCCAATTCAAGTGGACAAAAACCCTTATGGCCATGAGTCCATTTGGGCGTGGGGATGTGCTTGTGACACTCTGCTTGCTTGTTTTCCCACCCCGTCTGGCAAACTCAGCCCCCCTTGCGGAGCTATGTAATTTCAGTTCCTGCTTTCAATATGCAGGCCAGGCTTTGCAGCAGTGGCTTGTTTAGATGCCTTGTGTGTAGCTTTCCCTTCTGCACCAATCATTGCATGCATTGGGGCGGGCTTGACCTTGATATGGTATCTCTGCTCAACCATGCTTGAGTCATGGAAAAAAAGATGCTGTGTGCGCCTCCTTTTCAAAGAGTCTCTCTAGCTATCTGAATCTAACTATCGCCAGACGCCAGATCAAGAGAAGCCTCGACCAATTTCTACTCTGTATTATTCTGGCGCGAGTCTGGGTGCGTGACACGGCACCACGCGAAGCCGGACTATTCAACGTTCGTCCGGCGTTGTCCGTGTCTTACGTGCGCGGCAATGTCATCGCATTGGCTGACACATGATACCATGACATCCAGCTACAACCGCGTCTGGTGGTAGCTTCTTCAACATTTCCTGAACTTCCCTGCTTTGGATTTGTTCTCCGAATCTTCTTCTGGGCACCCTGTGGGGTGAGTGCTATACAAGGCGAGTGCGAGCTGAGCTGGGCTGTAACAATGATGGTCCAAAGAAGCAAGCACGTCGCAAGCAAATTGCAGCAGAATTCCTCAGAACGGGTCCGTGCGTGTTTGCATTTTCCAACTCACTTGTGTCCAACACCCAGACGCATTTCTCGCTCTGGAGCGTCCTGCTGCAATGCGGAAAGCTGTGAACTCTGCCGCAACGAGGGCATGGGGGTGCCCTTCATGCAAAGAGAGAGGCCTGAGGTCTACATGACAGGGCCGCAACCAAAGCTTAAAGCTTGCGACGAAGGCGTCATCCCCAACCTCCATGTAAAAAAAAAGTGGGGCGCGCCCTCCAAGCATTTTGGCCCCACTCGATTCAGAAAGCGATTCCTACCGGTCCCCCTCCACACAAGGGATGTGGGGATTCGGATCTGTGGCCTATTTAACAACCCCTGTCCACTGTGTCCTGCTCGTGGTGGGTGGAGCTAGTGGCCATACCATGGACTTTCTCTCAGTTGTTCAGTGAGCCTGGAAAGAAGGGTCGCCTAAGACCATTTTTAGTGGGGCAGCCACTACAAAAAAAGTTGGAAAAAGGAACATGGTGCCACTGAAGAACTGAGTTCTAGTCCACTTTGAGAAACTGTCGACTGTCCGGAAAAAACCTCACGTCCTGAATTTCCGTCTTGCCCGCAGCGGGTGGCCGCAGGCGCCGGCCCAGCAGGAAGCAAACCTCGCTGAGAGCGCCCGTGCTTTTTGTTGGAAGCCTTGCTGTGGGCTTGCAAAAAGCGGACAGTTTTTTGCAGCCACCAAACAAAACCAAAACAAACACATAAAACACAACACCAAACTGCAAAACAACTTGCCAAGACCAGTGAAGTCTTGGTTCAAAGCTGCTGTGGCCCGCCGTTTGCTCAGTTGAGGCCTTCTTCTCAGCAGAGTTCACTGGCCAAAGGCGATCAACAAAAGGCTTGAAGCTTGCCAAGGCTAGAGGCATGTACTTGCAGCCGCCCAATGTTACCGGGACACAGCACTCGCCCCTTTTTCGGAGGATGACTTTAAAGAAAGTAAAGAAACAAAAGATGACACACGAATGCAGAATTGTTTTTAACTTGTCCATGGGGCCAGGGATAGTTTTTGCTGCCCAGGATGATTGGCGCATGTGATGGGAAACATGTTGTTGCCATCAGAAGGAGCTACTATCGATCAGACTTCTAGCGCTGCTTGTTGATGACAAATGTCGTTACATGGTCTCACAACACCCGATCCAAACAGTGAATGGCTGCATCGACAGTCTGAGTCTGGTCAAAGAAAACACCTTCTTGCACCCCTTCTGAGTGGATTGGCCGACAAAAGTCCAACATGCTGCGCAAGGAAGTTTTCTGCAAAGATCTGCAAAAAACGGAACACACCTGCAGAGTAACATGGACCTTCCTCAAACAGCCTCCTTTCGGAAGACCGCCCTTTGTTGGATTCCGCGTCGTTGCTTGCAGACAAGGCTTGGCGTTTTGGGTGTGCATTGTCACTCCCTGCTTGCTGGAGATGCGGCTGGGGTTGCCACACACGCGCCACACCGCACAATTATATAAGGTTTACTTCCATTTGGTTAAGGCCCCAGGAAAAAATAATATATATGTATATTTCCAGTAGTGATGGATTCCTTTTAAAATCAACAAGGGAAAATAAAACATGTTCTTAAGCAAATGGAGGTTTATACTCATTTTTTCTGCGGCATGGCTCTCTAGCCTAACTTTGAATGAGCTCAGGGCAAGTGAAGGGGAGCAAGGAGCAAACATCAGCTTTCTCTGTCCCCTTTGACTGAAAAACACCCATCGCAAGGCCAATTCCAAGCCAAGAGGCGCAGCAGGAAGCAACGCAAAGAAGCATTCCCCTCAGTCGCCAGGGAGTCGTAGGGGCTTGGGGACGTTTGATTTTACTGTGAGGCTCTGCCCGGTCGGGTTTTGTTTCTTTCCTATTCAGATTGTTCCCTTTGGTTCTTTATCGGTTGCCTATTTAGTTTGGTCGCGATCTTTCGTTTCTCATGTGACTGGTTCCCTAGTCTTTGTTTACTTCGCGCCAATCAACACTAAAAGTCATGAGCATTCAAGGGCATCAGGTACGCATGGGGGGGGGGGATACCTGAAACTCTCATGAAGAAAGGCATTTGGATCGAATCGCCAAACAAGTAGCCAAACTATTTATCTGCCACTAAGTTTTGGCTACCAAACCCAAGGGGCGACTCAGTCGTGTTTCTACTTACCACTAAAATGGGAACCAAAAGTGCATAGGTGTCCTTTAGGGGACATAGATGGCCACATGATTGAGCCACCAGGTAAACCAGGGTCATCTGTTTTTCTACCAAAACAAGCAAAAAGGACGCATATGCAAAAGTGACTAAAGCTCAAGAACTCGTTGCACGTGGGAAGTTTTTCTCAGGCCACTTCGTACCAAGACTCAGTTGTTCAGTGACCCTGGAAAAAAAGGGAACCCTTTTGGGGGAAGGCCATGTTTAGTGGGGCCCCCCAAAACAAGTTGGGACAAGAATTGGTGCGTTCCGGAACAACTGAGAAGAGGGTAACAAGATGTAACAAGTGGGTCAAGAACCCAAGGACAAACACCTGCGGTTCTTTGGTTAAAAAATCGGACCCATACCCAGAGTTGCTGCCGGGGCGCACGAAGGCGGCGGCCACCACGTAGCTGTTGGCGTTCAAGTTGTCGGCCTCGCGGCTGCTCGCGAGGGCGCGTTGGATCCCGTCCGCGGCTTCTTGGTGCGACTCGGCGGTAGGGAATGCGAAATGGAATGAACCCATTGGTCGCAAAGGAAACCAAAGTTGGATTTGGCTTGGACGTCATCTCGGATAGCTCTGATCTCCCACTACATTGACTTTTTTCGTGTTGAATGGAAACTACCACTAAACACTACAAGGCAAAACACGCTAAGGGGATGGCTGGGAGCCACCAAAACATTTGGGGGTAGCAGGAAGAGCCTCGAATATCAATGACATTGTCTGGTCTGAATCTTGGCGACATATATGCCAGTAGTGCAAACATAAGCATCTCAATGTTATGGCCTGACGCGGAAACTTCGATCACACCCAAGGTTCCTTTGCATTCAACGAGGTCCTGATGAAGGATCGTGTGAATTTCAGACAAGAGATGCATGATGAACGATGAACAAGGGGGACATGATCAAAGATCCATCGCTTCCACCGCGCTGGCGCGAACTAAAGCACCCAAGCGTGGCAAGAACCCACCCAGCAAATACATGCAGTGCAAGTGAAACCCGTTACAAATACAAAAGCCCCGCAGTATCATCAAAAGCCCCTCCCAAACCATTCCCACTAACTCTGTAAAAGCCTGGCCCACTGATTCTTATCACAATGCTTCCACCGAAGCAACTGCAAAACAAACACCTTTGCCCCTGGGCTACAAGTGGTCACTGACCGTGTTGCGTTGGAAATGCAGCCCTTTTCGCCAAGAATAATGGAAGCGCCATACCCTCTTCCGAGCAAGAAAAGGAGCGGACTAAGGATCAAACCTGGGATCAACAGGCTCCGGTGTCCTTTTTTAACTCTCGTATTTTGAAGTCACAGTCTCGGGGCCCCGGTTTTTTTTTTGGATCCTCACCCGGAAAACCAGCTTTTCAAGGGCCTGGTGTTTCGTTTTTCATGGCTTGGGCCGGAAACAAGGCTTCCTCGAGGGCCTGGTGTTGTTTTGAAGTCACGCAAAAGGTGTGAGTTCAAACAAAAGGAGGTTTCAAGGCGAAACCGCAAAACAGAACTTAGGAACTGTCATGAAAGGATCCTTCCCGGCGACCTCGCTTGCCAACCCCAAGTGAGCTCAGGGCCCCTCAAGCACAACTCCGGCAAGAGGAGAATCACCTAACGTGAGTCATCCATCCGCCTCTAGATCATTCCTCAGCTCGAAGGGGACCGTCTGTACCTTGGCCGACGGGGGCCCTCAGGTTTGCAACCCCTCAACCACCTGATTTAACCAAGCCTGCATTTAAACCTTCTGGGTGAGGAACAAGTCTTTTTTGGCGCGGGGAAAGCAAGCACATTTCGTTTAAGCCAAGGAGATGGGCCCAAGCATCGCATCCTCCCGGACCCAACTCGAACCTTCCCCAAAGCCGCCCTGGGATTTGCAAAGACCATGCATCTGTCGCAGGCGCGAAGCCATGTTGTGAGAAAAGGCTCCAAGGGTTCTCATTAAACCTGCGACACGGATGCGGGTCCGAACATCTTCCAGTTAAAGGCAGGGGGCCCCACCCCTGTGACTCACATGGCTGGTGCTTCCTGTGAGAAACAGTGGACCCTTTGCGGCCTTCTGTCTTCAGCTCCTCTGAAACAGGTCCCTGAGGCCAGACCCTTCCCAAAACCACACCAGACAATTCTTCCCAAAAACATAGAAGCTAGTCGAAGTCCCCCAGTCAAATTCTCCGTCCAACCCACTAGAAGCCAGCCTTTCCAACCTAGCCAAGCCGGCCAACAGAAGCCGGCCACATTTGCCTGGAAGTCGGTCAAATTGGGCTGGCCCAGCCCCCTGCCCCTCCGTAGCTCTCAGACTGCAGCTCGTTCTAGCCTCTGAAGCCACCATACGCATTTCGGTGCCAACTCGCCCACTCAAACAAACACAACACTTCAAACCAAAACACAGCACCTCAAAGCCAGCAAAAAGCAGACTGGCCAAGGCGGGCAACACAGAGTGCTTACAAATACATTACAATTACAAAAGCCTTTTTCACGTTTCTTCCCTGAAGTTACCTCGAAGGGGGCCTCTGAACAACTCGCACATGCAACTCACACAGGCATGATGCAAGGAATTTGCAAGGAACGTGCAGCAAAGAAAGCTCCAAGCCCGGCTTTGGTGTGGGCATGACATCCGTTGAACAAGTCGCAATCCTCTTACCTGCGCCGTTGGGGGGGCAGCTCACTTGCCCTCTGTGGGCCCCAGCGATGGCAAAGATGGAGGTGTGCGTTGTCTCGCACCAAGTGCCAGTGGACCTCAGGCAGAATCAGTAAACTCCACGTGGATTTGAGGGGGGTGTCCCATTAGAAGGGTGCCCTTCACTTTTCGGTAATATCCGCCTATCATCGTGGGTCGGTAGTTCCAGTATGTGGGGCGTGAGCATCGGGATGCTTGCCTGGGTGGACTCAGCAAAGGAGGCTCTCCAGAACTGGCTTTAGCCAAGGCAACTCAAACTGGCACATTTGGCGCCTGGTGCAAGGCAAAATGGCAATCCAGTCTTGCTCATCGGTCCATGTGCATCGAAACAGCGCCACTCTCGAAACAAAAAGAAAGCTTGCTCGGGTTGCAACCGCGCACAGACAATTGAAACAACATCGGCTCGACGACCCTCCGCACAAAACCGCCAATCAAAAGAACGCCTGGTTTCCAAATCATGCCATTCATGCCTTTACAAGGGTCTTTTGTGGAACAGGGGAGGGCGTGGTTCAGAGCAGGTTGGACCAGTCCACGGTTGGATCGAGGTACTGCTGGGTTTTGACGTTTCAGCGACCTTCCAGAGGGTTCTCTCGGATCCGGCGAACAAGCCCAAGTAGGGGCATAGGATTTAGGTGCCGTGTACCAAATGGGAATATGCGGATGTTCGCAAGCTGCCGCTATTTACCATTGGTGGCTGGATCTGGTTGATTCGTTTCCTTGCGAGCCTTTGCAAAACCGAAAAATACGGGATGTCCCTCGTCATGTTCAGTAGGAGAGATTGCTACAATTTGCCAATACTTGACACGCTCAATCGTTGGTTTCGTTTGGGGTTGTATTTGGCAGCCCCCTTTTCCAGCAAGCACGGCGCAACAAACAACTTGTCGCGCTTTGCACTCGTCAATCAACATCAACACGTGGTGTGGACATCGTTGCCTTGCCCTTGCCACCCGCTTCCAGCACTGCCCTCATTAGCCCTCATTGACCTGCCAGCGTTGCCCTGAGGCCGTGCCCTTCAGCATTGGGATCCCCTGTTGCCACTCTCAGGCGCTTGCGTCCCAACGAGGCAGATTCTCTCCTTCGCTTTCTACACATGTTTCTGCGTAAGGCCGCGCTGGGTTTTTCCGTTCTCGAATGTGACTTTCACGATGCCGCTTTTAGTGACCCTGCGCAAATTGTAGCTTTTGAGCAGTGATGTTGCTGTTTTGCTACGCAGGCGCAGTGCTTGGAAGGTCGCGCGTTTGCGTTGCTGTGCCATGCGACTCGCGCGGGTTGTTGTTCTGATGTGTCGTGTTTGGAATGCGCGTCCTAATGCTTGCTGTTCGCTGGCGTACCATCGGCTCGCTTTGGTGAGCTCAATCCTAGTCAAAACTGGGCAACATCATCCTTGCGCCAGAGTCTCGTGTGAATTTTGGTACGCATGTAAGAGTTCGTCTAAAATACTATTGAAATCCGCTTGACAGGTTAGTTGCTTTTGGCAAGCCGCAAAAAAATATGAGGAGTTTTGGGGAGGTTTGAATGCACATCATCAAAAGCTCCTTTCACACCCTTTGGTCCAGGGCATCGTTTGGGCAGCGCCCGTCACGCCAAGGGCAAACTGCTTGTTCTGTGTGCAGCTCATAGGGAGGCCCCCCTCACTAGCTGTCACAGAAGGCCAGAAAGAAAAGAAGAGAACAAGAAAAGAAGGGAAGAAAACAAACAATATATATGTATTTGTCTATCGATCTATCCGCTATATTTATCTATCTACCCAGCAAGCTTGCTAGCTCTCCGGTCTTTCTTCTCTTCTCCATGTTTATCCATTTATCCATCCGTTCTACGTATGATCTATCTACCTATCTACCTACCCACCTATCAACAAAACATATATCTATCTGTATCTATATCCATGCATCTATTCATCTATCCATCTATCTGTCTATTCGCCTACCCATTTAGCTGGCAACCTATCCATCCACCCATCTATTTACCCATCTACCTTCCTCTGTCTCTATCGACGCATCTGCCTATACATCGCGCGCCTGTGAGCAGGGTCCCAGCCCTGAACCCCTGGGCCGTTCATTGGGGGATGCTGGATTGAATTGGCGGAGTACACACACACACACACACACGAGCTCATTTCATGTAAGGGCGTGCCACGTTTTTGACGATAGCCAAAAACTATATAGACGATCGGGCATGCGCAATTAAACCGTGAAACAGTGAAATGGGGACGCCCGAAAGTGGCCTGGGCTTTAGATTTGGCTTTCCTTTGCTCATGGTGACAAGGCGAAGAACGGACTCAACAAGGGGCAGGATGCCGTTTCGGCTCACTGGGCACCGGGGCTCTCCTGACACGCTGCTGTTCACCAGTGACACGCCTTCGGATGACCAGGTGTTCGACACCTCGGCTGGTGAAAATTCGTCCTTTGGCACAAAAACGAAAATTCCAGGTGATCACTTTTTGAGACCTTCATTGAACATCTGCAAGCTGTGCAACACTAAACTCCCCCAAAAAAAACATGACAAGCCGAAAGGTGGGCAAAACGTGAGTCTATGGTCGCACCTCCATCACCCAAAGGGACACACGGCATGGGTCTTGCACGTGCCTAACGTGGCCAATCGGCTATGTCCATTTGTGTTATGCACGGGCTTGCGCATAGACTCTTTTGCTGAAAATGGTTCTCAATTGCCGGCCCCGCTTGTACGCCAAGGACCCCTTGACCTTGCTCTCATAGGCTGGAGGGTCGAGATTTTTTTTAGGAATGTTGATTGTTTGGCCAGACAATTCGGTATTTTACAGCATTTTGTGACGAACTATACGTATTCTACGCTAGCGTCAAAATCCTCAGCATCGTTTTCAACGGCCCCTTCATGTCACGCCAACATCCCCCGCATCACCAGCCCCCCGGTGGAAAAAGTGATGATTCAAATAGGGGTGCCGTTGAATGTATATACATAATATAGAAACACACACACAAAAGAGACAACTAACAAGCAGCCGGGGGGGGGGGCATACGTACAAACGTGCATACATACATATACACATACACGCATACACGCATACACACATACACGCACACACATACATACATACATACATACATACATACATACATACATAGATAGATATATAGATAGATAGATAGATAGATAGATAGATAGATACATGCATACATACATTACATTACATTAGATAGATAGATAGATATACAAATACATACATTACATTACATTACATTACATTACATTACATTACATTACATTACATTACATTACATTACATTACATTACATTACCTTACATTACATTACATTACATTACATTACATTACATTACATTACATTACATTACATTACATTACATTACATTACATTACATTACATTACATTACATTACATTACATTACATTACATTACATTACATTACATAAATACATTACATTACATTACATTACATTACATTACATTACATTACATTACATTACATTACATTACATTACATTACATTACATTACATTACATTACATTACATACATACATACATACATTACATACATACATACATACATACATACATACATTACATACATACATACATACATACATACATACATACATACATACATACATACATTTACATACATACATTTACATACATACATACATACATACATACATACATACATACATACATACATACATACATACATACATACATACATACATACATACATACATACATACATACATTACATACATACATACATACATACATACATACATACATCACATTACATTACATTACATTACATTACATTACATTACATTACATTACATTACATTACATACATACAATACATACATACATACATACATACATACATACATACATACATACATACATTACATACATACATACATACATACATACATACATACATACATACATACATACATACATACATACATTACTACATTACATACATACATACATACATACATACATACATACATACATACATACATACATTACATACATACATACATACATACATACATTACATTCATACATACATACATACATACATACATACATTACATACATACATACATACATTATGTACATGCATACATTATGTACATACATACATACATACATACATACATACATACATACATACATACATACATACATACATACATACATACATACATACATTACATACATACATACATACATACATACATACATACATACATTCCATTCCATTCCATTACATTACATTACATTACATTACATTACATTACATTACATACATACATACATACATACATACATACATACATACATACATACATACATACATACATACATACATACATACATTACATACATAAATACATACATACATACATACATTACATACATACATACATACATACATACATACATACATACATACATACATACATACATACATACATACATTACATTACCTTACATACATACATACATACATACATACATACATACATACATACATACATACATACATACATACATACATACATACATACATACATACATACATACATACATTACATTACATTACATTACATTACATTACATTACATTTACATACATACATACATTACATTTACATTACATTACATTACATTACATTACATTACATTACATTACATTACATTACATTCCATTACATACATACATTACATACATACATACATACATACATACATACATACATACATACATACATTACATACATACATACATACATACATACATACATACATACATACATAAATACATTACATACATACATACATACATACATACATACATACATACATTACATACATACATACATACATACATATATACATTACATACATACATACATACATACATACATACATTACATTACATTACATTACATTACATTACATTACATTACATTACATTACATTACATTACATTACATTACATTACATACATGCATACATTACATTACATTACATTACATTACATTACATTACATTACATTACATTACATACATACATACATTACATTACATACATACATAAATACATTACATTACATTACATTACATTACATTACATTACATTACATTACATTACATTACATTACATTACATTACATACATACATACATACATACATACATTACATACATACATACATACATACATTACATTTCATTACATTACATTACATTACATTACATTACATTACATTACATTACATTACATTACGTTACGTTACGTTACATTACATTACATGCATTGCATACATACATACATACCATAAAATCACATACATATCATAACATAACATACGCATACACAAACACATAAACATACATATGACCAACGCGTGCCGGACAAAGCCCAACAACCAACGAAAGCCACCTGCCAGAGGTCATCTGTCTCATGAAGTGGTCTACAATGACAGGATCAAATACCAGTGGACAAGGAAGTCCTGCAAGTACATGTGTGTGTGTTTTAGTTAACCATTTTTTTTGGAGGTGCCCCTATTATTTGGACACGATGCCGTCCTTCAATCGTGGAAGTGGGTAGGCTTCCCCACAAGGAAAGCTTTCGTCGTCCAAAACCCTCCTGTCAGCTTCCATGACCAGAAAATTGTTGGCAACCTAGGCTACAACTCACTTCTGAGCCCCCCTTCAGTGAGGCACTATCTTGTAATGGCTACCCACTACCCTCCCACCGCCAAACATGGAAGTGCACAACCCCAGAAGACTTCCTTCTCCTTGGAAAGGGGCCCGGTTTGCTTCCATGTTAGTTGGGAGGGTACATCGACCGAAGACCGAACACCCTTGATCGAACCTGGAGTCTCCATGGCCCTTTAAACATGGCATGACCCCCTTTATCTTGGGTGACGCCCGCACCCATTTCAGCAGCGTCCATTTCAGTCCCGGGCGAAGTCAAAGTGAACGCAGCTGTCCCCCTCGATGGGGTTCGTGCCTGAGAATCCTCGGACCGGTGAGAGGCAGCGGAGGTGTCTGCGCGTGACACTGGTTGCAAAAGGGGCCGTGTATTTGGGTGGACGATGTTTTTTGTAGGAGATCCACCAAATAGAAAGGGAAAATGGATGCTAATGTCGAGGAACAAACATCCTCTTTTGGTTCCTTTCAGTTTCTTGCAGCATGTGGGCTACTCTGAACTGCTTAAGTAGTTCCACACTGGAAAGAAAACAGCAGGTGCCCGCTTGTGAGACAGTAACATGCGAATGGCAACCTTTGGAGCCACCAGGCACCTGCGGTCCTTTAAAGGCCTGTGACCGGGGCCCCGAACCCATCCGAGATGTAGGTGGCACTCTTGCACGGGATGAGGGTGAGAAAAGCAAAGGCAGGGTTGTGCAAATGATGCCACTCATAGCGGTGGTATATATATATATATATATTCCACATACATCCGATTCCAAACAAATCCTCCGGTGCCGAAAAGACCCAGAAATACGGGGCTAACCTTTTTGGGACCATGACTAAACGCAGGAAAGCCAGAACGTCCATTCGCTTTGGAGATCTGCGAGCGTTTCTTGGTTGCTGCTGATCCCCATGCAAAAATGTTTGACTTTTTGGGGCTTTGGTGGAAAACCCAACTTGATTTCAACCAAACAAAAGATCCAACCCAGTAGCAGTCAAGGTTTTTGCTCTCGCCGTGGCCAAGCTTCGGATCAAGATGGGCTCCGTCAGGTCAGAGACGTTCATGACCTCCACCACGCCCACCACCTCCTGGCCGAGTGGGGAAAAAGGTCCGGCACTCCCCAAACTGGTTGAGCTGACTACAATAATCTTCCACTTGCCCAGGAAACAATGCGAACATATGTCCCGCCAGAGCGGCTCGCCAGTGGATCCCGCCGAGCATCCCGCCAGAGCAGCTCGCCAGTGGATTTTGCCGAGTATCCCGCCAGAGCTGCTCGCCAGTGGATCCCGACAGTATCCCGCCAGAGCTGCTCGCCAGTGGCAGTGGATCCCGCCGAGTATTCCGCCAGAGCGGCTCGCCAGTGGATCCCGCCGAGTATCCGGCCAGAGCGGCTCGCCAGTGGATCCCGCCGAGTATCCGGCCAGAGCGGCTCGCCAGTGGATCCCGCCGAGTATCGCGCCAGAGCAGCTGGCCAGTGGATCCCGCCCAGTATCGCCAGAGCTGCTCGGCAGTGGATCCCGCCGAGTATCCCGCGAGTGGCTGGCCAGCGTAGTATCCCAGTATCGAGCCGGAGCGGCTCGCCAGTATTCGCCAGTGGATCCCGCCAGTATCCCGCCAGAGCAGCTCGCCAGTCTGGTTTGCTTAATGTCCCGCCCGGCGCACAGTTGGGTTTACATTTCATGTTGGTGCCGTCGTGCTTTGAGTGCACCCTGAGGCTCGGAAAGGGTGATGCTTTTGTGTTGCTTTGGGTTGTGAATAAGCAACTTCGTTTAATCCCCCATCGGGTTTCTTTTTGGAAGGGGCTTGGCCATTGTTGACGGGACCGATGTTTGAGTTCTCGAGATCAGCTCGCAAACATGTGGAATTTGACACACAGACAGGTGGATAATTAAGGCTCTCAATGCAAAGCGGTCATAGGCCCCAAGCCACTCGAAAACCATGCTTGAATTCACACACGGCAAAATATCATTGGGAAGGGGCCGATGGGAATTTGGAGTCGAAGTCTGTAGGATGCGGAGGAATGTGCTGTAACGGTCGTAAGCCCAGGGTGGGGATTGCTCGAAGCGAAGTCTTTCGTAGTTAAAACGTGCTCGTTTCTCACATGCTCACCAAACCTGGAAAATAATTCCAGGCCAACTTGGGACCTGAACAAAGACCCGATCGTTAAAACCCTGGGGCTTTGGGCATCTGAAGGCTTGGAGCTACCTGAGCCATGTGCTTCCAAAGAACTGCCGGGCCCCTCGAAGCCATCCGGGTACCAGCTCCGATGTATTTCCCCAAGCCACAACACCGATGTTCTACCCCGCTTGCTGGTGAGGCTCGGAGCAAGCCTGAGGAACGTCACAGCCGTACCTGGAGTCTCCATGACCCTAAAAAGATGGGGTCATGACCCCTTTATTTTGGGTAATGATCCAATTTTTTAAGGGTCATGGAGACTCCAGGTAGTTAACTGTCCCCCATTGAGCGTCACAAAAACTTCCGAGGAGTCCGCTCTCCGCTTTTGAGTTGTCCACCCCCTCTCGGCGTGGGGTTGGGGGGGGGGAGGTTCGTTGTGGTTGAAGGGGGCCATGTAAAATGTCCGAGGCCGACCCAGCCTCACTTCATTGGGTCGGATCCCAAGGGGATGGGAAAGAATCTGAGAAGATTCATGAAGTTCGGGGAACTGCCATGCCAATCTGCGACGCCACTGGGAGAACGGTGTTCCCAACAAGTTATTCTTCACTTTGGGCGGGGGAGGGGGGGGCAGTTCCTGGAATGAATTCCTTCCCAATGACGGGGCACTTAACGGGTGGAATCCGGTTGCCTGGCATCACAGGGACCCCATGGACAGCTCTCGCGCTCTCTCCTTGATCAAGGAGAACTCCAGGACCCGATTGTTGAAGATCAACTGGGCCAGGTGCAGCATTCTCCGTTTGCACCGGGAGAAATTAGTCGACACTGCCCCTAGCAAGTGGAAACAACATGAAACAACCCCAAGTGAAGAAGCACATGGATATGCATGGGGACCCATTTCCAAGAACGGAGGCAAACAAGTGCTTGGACAACCCTGGGTTTGACTACTTGAGGAATATCCCAACAAAACCCGTTTTGGGAGGTATATGTGAAGGAACATGCCTGAATTTTCCTGCATGTAAGCAGCACATTTTGTACTTCTGGAACGCTACCTGTTGATATCTGGAGGGGTCCTCGCTTCAGTTGTTTTCGTGGGTTGCTTGTGTTGTCATGCCTGCACGCTTCTGCCTCAATTTCGGTCCAGGCGCCTTGTCCCTTTGGGCATTCTCGTTGGGGATTCCGGCGGAGGCTTCCTGGCGGGACACCCAACACCACACCGATGCTGCTCAGGCGAATTGAGCACGCACAGGAAGAGGCACCATGTTGGGAAGACAAGGCATTGGTGGGTGGCTTGAACACCGTTCGGTGCTTGCCAACAAACAGCCAAGGAAGGTGTTACAAAGGGGTTGGAGGGCCAAACTTCGACACATTGCCCCAACAGCGCCTCAAAAGGATAGCTGCTGGAACATCCTACCACATAGGGCGTCTGATATGGATGGCAATGGGTGCAAAGAATCTTGAGCAGGGAGCAATGCCACGCTTATGAGGCCGCGGATCGACTTCTTGCATAGCCTGGTTGAACGACTATTGTTTAAACAACTTGTGTTGTGTCCCCCTTACAGTATGGAGCCCATAGGCAGGGTGCACAACAATTCGCCCCAACACCCAAGGCACATGCGGGATGATTGGACAGCTTTCGCACTCCGAGAGTGCATCGAACGGGGTGAAAACCTCAAACCTTCAAACGTACACGAGCTTGTCTGATGCACAGGAGTGTGTCGGACATTAACATGGGAGAGCGGTTTCCCTCTGGTTGCCCCGTGTAGAACAACCCCCAGCAACAGACTCACATGTCCCTTCGACAACTTTACAGTTTCTGAGCGCACACGCAAGGACCCTGGAAGGGGTCTGTAGCTTGGTTGTTACAGCCACCATCTTCAGTTCCATCCAACTCACCTGTCTGGATTGATCAATTTGGTTCGGGATAACCCGTAACCCATGGCAAGACTCCAATAAGGGAAATTCAATACTGGCTGGCATAAGGATTCAGAGTTGACCTGACCTCGGTCCAACCCACTGCATGTGCTGCTGCACCAGGGGGGCAAATGCCAAGAACGACAATGCCGTGAAACTCGGCGAGGTGCATAGACCTTACACTCATCCCCAAGCCTAGGATCTGAGCAGTTTCCGCCAGCATAATGTCGACCGAGAACCCCACTCCCCCTCGAGGAAGGGGGGGTGGGGTCCCCTATTACGAAAACAAAGCCAGACGTGAAATTCTCCACTCCCCTCCCCCACGATCTACAAGAGGGTGGGAAGTAGCCACCCGGGCCTCAACAACCTGTGTGACAGTCATGATGACGTTTGCCTGCGTTTGGAGCTCGTCGACCTGAGTTGCGTTGCCGCAGTGGTATTGCTGTGCATAGCATGTGACATGGACGTGTCTTTCTTGAGGGCCCCTTCTTTTCTGGTCAGTTTCAGGAGAAGCCAAATGGAACTGGGAGCTCCCCAACCTTGAGACAACCCCATACAATCAACAAAGCCTGTCAAGGACAACATCGGATACCTTGCAACTGCAAAGGATTGCATCTCAAAGCTGTATGGGCCGCTCATCTTGAAAAGGTGGCCGTTAACAGTTCATATGTACACACACACACACTCACACACGCAAAGGAAGAAAGCACAAGAAAGAAAGAAGAAAGGAATAAAAGGGAGGAATAAAGGATGCAAGAAAGACTGAAAAATAGGAACAACACAAGAAACAAACTTCACCAAGCCACCAAGCAACCAAGCAAGCAAACAACTACGTCAAACTAAACAAGCAAGCAAACAAGCAACCAATCA